AGGGGGAAAATTCGGGGTCCTGACGAGGAATGATGGGGGTCCCGAAGGGGAGAGATTGGGGGTCCTGAGGAGGGAGGATGAGGGTCCCGAGGGGGGGAATTGGGGGTCCCGAGGGGGGGAATTGGGGGTCCCGAGGGGCGATGATTGGGGTCCCAGCGGTTAGATTGTAAGTCCCGGTGGGTTTGACGGGGGTCTCCGGGAGGGGAAAGGGTGCCAGGTGAAGGCATATTTGGGGTGGCGAGGCGGCAGGAGGGGGGTACCGCCATGGGGGGGGGAGCAATCTCAGGAACGCTGGGGGGGCACGACGGGGGGCTCGGTGGGGCTTTGGGGGTCTCGCGGGAGGGCACGATGGGGGCCCCGAGGGGGGTACCGGGTTCAGTGCGTTCGCGGGGGCCGAGGCCGCTCACCGCCCGCCGCTGTCCCCGCTGCTGCTGTCGCCGCTGTTCCCGGGGCGGGCGCGGGGGGGGCCCTACGTGCCCGGGGGCCGCATCGCGGCACCGTGACTCATCCCGCGGCCGTGACGTCACCGCCATCCACCGGCGCCGTGACGTCACCGCCCGCCCCTCCGACGTCAGCGCGGCTGCCGGGGATGCGCTGCGGCCGCCGGCATCCCCCAGTCCCCCCATGTGTCCCCGTGTTCTGCTTGTCCTCCATGTGTCCCCCATGACCCCCTACATCTCCCAGTTCCCCCGTGTCCCCCATTTTCCCGTGTACCCCGTGTCCATCATATCATGTCCCACCATGTGTCTCCCCTCTCCCCATGTCCTCTTGTCCTCATGTTCTGCCTTGTCCTCCCAATCTCCCCGTGTCCATCATGTCCTCTGTGTCCCCCCATGTCTCCGCGATACGCCGTGTCGCCGTGTTCTGCCTTGTCCCCGTGTCTCTCCGTGTGTCCCCTTTGCTCCCCCCGTGTGCCCCATGTCCCCGTGTCCTCCCGTATCTCCTGGTCCCCCCGCGTCCCTCGTGTCCTCTCTGTCCCCGCGGCTCCTCCCTCTCAGTAACTCCCAGGGCGCACGCAAATGAGACGTAAGGGTGAAGGGGGGGCGGGACTGCGTGCAAACCCCACGCGAACGATCCCGGGAGCCATTCCGAGGGACCGGGGCTGGGCGGGGGGGGACACCGTAGTGCGATGCAAAGGAGAAGGCGGAACGCAGACACGCACACGTATACGCACACGCATGCAAATGAGATGCAAACGAACCTCAGCCCCACCCACGTGACCCGAGCGACCCACGTGATTAGGGAGCATCACGTGACGCGGGCGCTCCCGCCGTCGCGCCGCTCTGACGCCAATTCCAGCACGACGGCGGCGGGCGCCGGTACCGGGAG